GCCTGACTTTCAGTGAATCGGTCTGTATGGGGACCGATAAGTCGTCGGAGACTGATACCCGTGAGAGATTTGGGGGCAGCGGAAACAAGGCTAATATATCGATGATTTTCGCACAAAGTACGTTAACTCTTTTTAAAGACGGTACGACAATTGATAGTCGTCAGTCTGAAGGCACCTCTTGAGCATTCCAAAGCATTTTAAACAGAGAAGCGAGTCAAGTCAACAAAGAGTCACCATCATCTCTCAGCAAAGATCTTCGGATCCATGAGCCTTATTTCATCCCGTGCAACAGAAAAGGTACAAGTTTGCAACTGGGCGGAAATAGCGAGAAGTTTGTCACTTAACTGACGGGAGGCAACTTGGGTCACGATGCCTGACGGTTGGATCAAAAGAGACCAACAACGTACCGTAGAAAGTCCCTCTGAATTAACCAAGTTAAAGGGCTAGTGGCGTTCTTGATTACCAGAACCATTCCGACACGGTTGTGTCCGAGTTTTGATAATAAACTCCTAAGTGTGACGCATACCTTAGCGTTGAGAGTTCACTTAAGCCATTATCATACACAGGATGAACAGAAGTGACTACGGGTACACTGGGACTCAGATGGATCAGAAAATAATGCAAACTGAACCTGAATAGGAAGACGCAAAAAAGATAATTCAAGGGAGCGCATGCAACAGCGCCCGTGCGATAACGCGAATGCGTCATAACCGAGGGGATTGCTGCGCATAAGTGTAGCCGATCCGGATGCTCCAGTTCCGGAGGTGGACGGTATGAGCTAAACGGATCGCAGGTGTGATTAAACGGTATCACGCCAGTGAACGGCGATTCGGGGCTTCTCCCAACAGAGTGAAGTATTGGCAAGGAACGCACAGCGAATCAGCTAGTTAAAACACAGCCGAAAGACATAACTGTCGCCGAGGTGGGGGTACCAAATGTGTCAGTAGAAGGATACGGACAAACATCAACGAGAGAACACTAAAACAACCATTTAAATGCCTTCACAGAACATAGCAACACTTAGTAAACATCAACGGCTTGACGCTGTAAGTCTCTCCATCACTTGAACAAGCGATGATCATGCCACCAATTCATATCGTGATATTAGTCGAAATGCAGTGCTGTATGACTAGTTCTCTGGCTTTGACAGCGGCCAAATTCGGGCTCACCATCAACACAAGCAAAACTTTCTGGCTCTTTCAGCCTTCACCGGAGGTGCAATCTTCAATACTGCCGAAAAGCAGCATTGGTGCTGAAGTATGGGAAACCACCTTCCGCTTCTAGTATCTTGGGAGTGTGGTGTCGACTGACCAGCAGATACACAGTGAGATTCGTATCCGCGTCTCAAAGACAGCAGCGGCATTCGGGAAGCTAGAATACCGAGTGTGGAACAACCATCAGCTTACCGTCGACACGAAGCTGATGGTGTACAAATCAATGGTACTGTCCGTTCTTTCATACGGCAGCGAAAGGTGGATGATTTACAGGCGGTATATGCGATATTTCAAGCGGTTTCATCAACAGTGTCTACGATGGATCCTGCGCATGGGTTGATGGAATAAAGTTGCGGACACGGAAGTGTTGTACCGTAGTGGAATGTATGCAGTGGACTACATACTTTTCCTGAGAAACCTGAGGTGGTTCGGTCATGTGAGCCGCATGGATTCAACGCGGATACCGAAACGACTATAATATGGTCAGCTAAATATTGGGAAGCGGCATGCGGGGAAACCGAAACTTCGTTACCAGGACATGACCAAAGTGAGCCTCACGTTCTAATCTTGCTTTCAGATCATGGCATTCGAAAGCTGTTGATCGGCGTGCATCGCGCGATCTGATCACGAAGGCCATTGTCAAAGTGAAAAAGAAGGCCCTCGTGCATGCAGAGAAGAAACGGCGATTGCGGAAGCGACAGGCGCCGATGGGTTGTACTCCATCGACAGCGAGAGCGTGGTGCTGTAGCACATACGGTCGCGGGTGCCTGAGTCAGGCAGGCCTAGTGAGCCATGAGCGAGGCCACTCGGGACCACTACCGAAGCGACGACGTGTCCTGCAGAGAACGTAGGCAGAACCAGCGCAGCGTTTGTAGGTACGCTGCATTCGATTTACTAACCACTTGCTTGCATGCTGAGTCAATTTATTTCAGGTGGTGGGTTTGCTACATTGTCCTAATGCTTTTTTAGATTAATGTCTACCTGAATTGTAAACTTGCACACGTCGCTTAAGCTAATTGTAGTTAACTTCGATAACATCGCGTTTGTGGCATTGTCTTTAAATATATTTTCTGACGCCTTTAACTTAACGCGGATTTTTTGGCAACCGATTTATTTCATATGTTCATTTATTGAAGAGTTATGTAACTGTGTCCGAATGCATTATTCGATTTATTTAAGTTGGTATCGTTATTACAAAGGATTGACTGTTGCTTGATATCCCCGGTGTGGCTGTTGTTGATGTGCATGTTGACAAGGTGCCTACCTGTCTGTTATCCACCACCTCGTCTACACTGGATCTAGAAGACAGTTAATCGTTTGTTGAAGGGGATGAGATGCATGGACCTCGTGACCGTGTTAGGCTCGAAGAGTGGTTCTATGCACATGGTTTGTGTGTGGAACGGGCTACGGCCGAACCACCGCCTTGTGTGCACTTGATTCCCAAAATACAACGTGCTTGTATTTGCCTGTGAAGGAGTGTGGGCCGGTTCCGTTGATAAAACGTGGCTCCCATCCACATGCCTTTTGGTCTTATTCCTTCGGGTTTACACTGTATATGGAGTATGTGAATGGCGTTGTGAGTGGTGCAACGTGAGCCCCCCATGGTCCCTCTGAAGGTGCGGGGATCCTATGACTGTCTCCGTGGAGGCCACAGTGACAGGCTAATCCGTAACCGGATACCACCAAGTATATATATATATATATATATATATATATATATATATATATATATATATATATATATATATATATATACTTACGCATTATGGCACAATAGCTCAGCTATTTTCCACCTTTAGCTAATGTGCATAATGATGATGTGACAGATGGGCTAGCATCTTCCGAAACAACAAATATACATGATGATTCGGTTACGGATGGGGTTTAGGTGCATCTAGTGGCTGCGGAACGTGATACTTTGGTGCTTAATTTCGAAAGAGTACCGGCAATACACTTTTTGATCCGTTTATTCCTGGTCTCAGCAGACAAAGATTAATGGGTGAACACCTAAGCACAGCGTGTACAAATGTTTTGAAGCAGAAATAGGAATTTCACAATGGGGCGCGAAGCAGCTGGGAAAGAGTCATCGGGATTGGGTGCAAGGGTGTGCGTGAATGTGCAGGTGAGAGAAGAGCAAGGGAGACCGCTGCCGTATGAGCGTGACGTAAGTTCATTGCCATTGTTGTGGTCTGTTAAGGGCGTGCCTGATGGTGCCTCCAAAGACGGTCAGTCGCGTGGCACCGAGGCATCATCACGAATTGTCGGTGTATTTCTAGCCAAAAACGGTGTCCTCCAATAACGGGAATTTGACACGGTATATATCGGTAGCGGAGTCGTTCGGGCTTCTGTTAAGTAATTCACGGGTCAGCAGTTCGATGCTTAATAGATACGGGTAACTTCGCGATATCCCATCCCACAAGCAACAGCTGGTCGTTGCGTGGCAGTGAAGTTGTGTTTCAGCGTACTGATTGTACCTACTTACAAATATCTAAGAGTCGAAAGTTAGTTGCTATTGTTTAACTATGATCGAAGTACGAAGAGAAAGCGACGTAGTTGTCGAAACTAAAACCGTTTAGAGTTTGAAACAAAACAAGGATAAAGAAAACAAAGAGGGGGATTGCAGAGAATGGCATACAGACAAAAAATAGCAACAATTCAGGAAATTATAAAAATAAAAGGCAAGATCGTTAGACTGGAAAATCAACAGCTAGATGCAAGAGGGGGAGGGCACTACCGTTATCATAGTATGGCAGTGTTGAGATATCAACCAATCAGTTGCGTAGTCCACCCCGAAATCCCCATTCGGTGGGCCGAGACGCACCAGTCGATTTGCTTAGGCCGTTTGTTAGGTTATCCGTTGACTATCATGTTGCTTCCCCCTACCACGTACCTTGTCAGAAAACAATACCAGCTGTTGAAGCCCACTGACAATTGTTAGAAGTGATCCAGCTACCGCATGCTATCTACGTTAGACACTGGATTTGCTGCCAAAGTCAGGTGAATAGCCAGCACACAACCGGATAGAAGATAGGCGGCCATTTTGTCCTATTGAGATTCGTCAGCAGCGCATATCAACCGTATGCCCCCCGACCCGAAACTAGCCAACGACTAAAGCTACTGAGTGAGGACGGTGGGCCGCCACGACTGGGTACTAAGTGAGATATAGCGCCGCTTATCCTCTCCTATCATGCACGTTACGAATGTGCAGAGAGCAAAGTCGGCTTAAGAGCGGTTACTTCCTTCGCAAGTAGTCACCAGCTGAGGTGCCATATAAGTTGCTAAGGCGACTTGGTTGCAACGTGAAAAAGGAGCAATGCTACGCAGACGAATGAACGAAATAGCTGGATTGGATAGTGGTGGGGCATACGAGAAGAGAGAGAAGACAAAGGAAACCAATCGGTTAACAAGTAAACATTGGTGTAGCTGAGAAGCAAAATGACAGGGATATGGATGAATGGCTAGCTAGTACCAAATATAATGATGCACATAAGAGATCGAGTAACATGCAGTCAAACATAAAATTTCCTCGAGCAGCTAAGAGGAAAAGTGGGTGTCCGTCAGATCAAAACGGCAGGTGCACGTTTGAGTCGTAGAAGAACACGACTGGCATTGGACAATATGACTTTGAAGCCGATGGGATGGAGGTCGTATGACGCAGTTGTGCAAGGGTCAACAATCAATAAGAATAGTGCAACACACATCTCCCTCTTAATAAAAATGTATCTCCAGGAGAATGTAGCGCAGAGCATGATGAAGACGACAGAAAAGACAACAGCTGGCACTTACCAGGGCTGTACACGAACCCAAATAAAAATGCCGGTCTGAAGAATACAGTTTACTAAAAGCTGCAATCCCAACGACATCAGGGTAACGACAGAGACGAGTCGCATGTTGGGCGGCTCAACGGACAAATGCGGGTAGGCTTTTGCGTAACCAACTGCAAGGATGATAGAGGAGAGTAGACTAAACAGGTTAAAATGGTGGAATCAGATTTTAATCGCATCCGAGTGCAGATGATGAATCAAGGTGGGGAATGCAAGCCCGTAGATAATGAAAAGATGGAGGAATCGCGCCCTAAACAATAGCCAACATACTAAACAAACTACCTCATAGGACAAAGATTAAAAATGGGAAATCAAGTTACGGGGACGAATGCAACGGTGCCACCAGTGTCCGATCCGAATCAATTCTTTCGGTACACCCCAGGGTTTCTAAGAGATTTAATAGAGAAATTCTGTAACAATAAACAAGTATACAGCAGATGAGAAAGCATCAGAAAAGTGAGTACCCAAAAACGTAAACTTAGATGGAGTGGACAGCTGCAAGTGGCATTATCTCGTCGTGCTTAGCACATCAAGCGGATTTGCCGACCAAATAATAAACATGCCCCACCATTCACCAAATTCTGTGGACCCGTTATGTGGAATATTTACACTAGTTAATAGCGAATGTGCGGGCACCATACGTTCCAAGCGATTGGAGCTGCCCCAGATTTTCAAAGGGGACTCACGTATGATATGTGGCAATCACAAAGGAATCAGTCTGTTAGCCTGCAAAGTACTTGTTTCTGACTGGTACCCGCAAAAATCAGATTCGTGAGGAGCAAGCTGGGTTTCGTAGGGGTCGCGACTGCATTGATCACAACACCTCAATCGTTGAAGCACCACCATATTTATTGTCCATCCACCGTAGTCATGTTCCTCGACATCAAAGACGACCTTGATTGTGGCGATAAAGTGCCCTTTAAGATTGTCTAGTCAGGAAAGGAGTACCCGAAAGGTATGTAAAAAGTATCGGAGCGCTAAATGCGCGCAGTTTTGGCATACAGCAAGCTGTCATCATCTTTTAATTTCTCCACTGATGTGAGACAAGGAAGCCCGCTGTCACTTTTCCAATTTTAACTTTGCCATGGACGAAGCAATGGACACTATGTTAGCTGGACTAGTCTTAGAAGGTTTGGAGCTGCTCCCAGGTGATCGACTTCTCGACTTAGAGCATTCCGACGATATTGCCCTCATCTGTTACAAATCACAAATGTACCAAACAACACAGGACGGATTGGTACAATCATTTCGGGTCACGCTTTCCATCTTCCGACTTAAAGCTGTCCTCAAATATTGGCAGAGGCGGCCCCTGCGCTGACTCTTGGTGGAAATCAAGCAAAAATCGTCTCAGAATTATCCGGCAGCCGTACTCGCACTAGTGGAATGGAAGACGAACTATCATTGCTAATCTGCGCCACCTGTGGCGCCGACGCGACAGCACGCACGCCCCGAACAGTGGAGTCTAACAGTGCAGCCGTACAGTTAACCAAGCTGTATAGTAGCGCAACTTGGTGCATCAGCTCGAAGGATGTAGAGCCTAGTTGCGTTCGACCATCAGTGCTTTCGCAGCTTAACTCACATCTGGTGGGGACATCGCGTGAGTAACGAGTGTGCTCATATAGTGTCTATGGTGCAGGAAGAAGAGGTGAGTCACTTGGAATGATTATTTCGCACACCAAGCTCCGATGGCTGCGATGTTCTAGGTAAGCCAGTAAACAGACTCCTGTGACGTGCGGTGCTTGGATTTTCGGGGAAGACGATGATGTGAGCTCAATCGGTGACGTACTAAAGAGAAACGAAGATTCTCACTCGACTGATGCCCACCAATTCCCGGATTTGGATCCGAGAGACCATGCAAATGTTTAAATGAAGATGCTTGTGGGAATGCACAAAATCCGACATCGGTGATGTTTGTGTCATGAATTTCACTACCCCTCCCCTTCCAGTCACAATATCAATCTCGATACATAATAAAAACAAGGCATAATAGTAGTTTTTTGGTTTTGTTTCTTTTTTCCGTGCAAGACTAGATAGTACGATTGTATCGCGACAGAAAAGATAGAGTGTTTCTCACCAGTAGCTAACGTGCAGAATGAAAAGGACGATGTCGAATGGTGAGCAGAGGAAGATCAACTACTCCACTTAGGCGGGCCGAGACAGTACATAGACGAACGCACCGATTGGTGCGTCAGATGAATTAGGAAAAAGAAAACAGGCATAGTCCCTGCCGCCTATACGATTAGGCGAGCATTTGAACGAGGTGACCGCGAGAAATGTGCACCAAAAATGGATACAGAGTGAGAGTGAGTGAGATGAAAAGAAGATAAAACGGAAGAACACAGTGGAAGTGAGCAACTTACAGGTTACGCTGAGAGTTGTGATAATGAACAGATCGATAAACAGGAATTGAGCATCGGACATATTACCGCCGATCTGTAGAGAGGAGGGACAAAGAAAGAGAGAAATATGGCTCAAGGCGCTGGCAGGTAACGTCAGTTGAAAAGCTTCAAGATTAACGAATCGCCCAACTGATATTCGATAGCACTAAAAAACAACTGTGCGTGCAAAAAAGCAGGCTTTGGTCGCACGGTGAAGAGTAGAGGTGTAGCCGCTAGGCAAAGGCGTGAACTCATTTAAACTAGTTTACAACAGTAGCCAGAGTGATGAGGAGTCAAGGACCAATGTGCCGAAATCAGCGTCATTCGGTAATTTGTGGGAACAGGTGTATGACTATTGAGGAAGAGGGTAGTCTAAATGAGAGAAAAGGGAATTCGGGAATTGTAAATGAACCAAATAAGGTAGCAGCAAGCTGGTGGTTTTCTTACGGTCTACAAGACGAAGAAACAAAATATGAAAGAGGCAAGTGAAGAGGGTGAATACCTAACATAAACAAAGAGCCCTGTGATGGTAGTTGGTGGTTCCGGTGAGCGGAGCCAACAGTGGACCAGCGGACAGGAAACTCATGAAGCGGCATTCACCTGACCTGATCACAGTCGCATGTGGAGAAATGCAGAACTGGCTGGACGTATACGACCAGGGAGCGGTGTGATAACAGTTGGAGGGGAGATCGGATCGGTCAGCAGCTCAACGCCTGCTCCATAGGGGAACACTCATCGATGGAGTACACGAAGAAACTGAACAAAAATGGGGAAATCGGACAACCTTGACGAAGGCCAGTTGTTGTCGGAAAGCTATCTGAGAAGTCACTGTAGACCCTGACGCGACCTGTAGTGTTCGAGTATAGACCAGGTAAGCTGTCCATATATTTCGTGCGACCACCTTCCCGCGCGACTATTTCGAACAGAATGCATCGATCTACTGAAGCGAACACACTCTTGAAGTCAAATAATACAGCTATTTTCGGTTTGTGGTATGCGTGGCAGAGTGAATATATGGTCAACGCAGCCACGTCCTGGGCGGAAATTTGCCTGCTCTTCCGTACTCCCAGATTCCCGTTCCGCTGTGTGGTGACGAAGGAGAAGCGAGGCCAGTAATTTTGTCACAACTGGCGTTAGGCTAATACCCCCTGTGGTTAGCACAGTTTGTACAACTGTCCCTTTTGTGTATTGCCACTATTAGCGATTCAATCCAGTTAACTGGACACTGTCATCCTTCCAGAAATATTCAAATAGAGAGGTCAGTGCTTGGCAGAGGACCTCACCTACATTCTTAAATAGTGCGGATGGGAGGAAATCCGGGCCAACAACACGAAAACGACTGAGGGCCGGGATCGTGATGGAGCTTCTAAACTAATCGGCCATGGCTCAGCCTGCAGCATCGGAGTAAGAAGTGGTCAAGGAGAAGGGGCCAACTGAACTGATCACGAAAGTGCTATACCCAAAGAGTCATACAACGCTCCGTATTGTGTATCAGTGCACTTGCGCGGTCTCTGATTGTCCTACTGACGCCCGATTACTTGAGACCAGTGGTGCGGATCAGCCGGAAGAGCTAGCGATAGTTGCCTACTGTTCCCGCCTCCTTCATTTCTTGAGCCCAACTGGTCCACCAGACTTCCTTGTCAGCACGTAGGCTCCGCTTTAGTTCGCGCCTAATAGCCCGTTTGGTCACATTGTGCTCAAAGCCAGCTGAGATTCTTCTGGATTCCAACAGGTTCACCGACCTCGGATATCCAGTGACTGATCCGATGACGAATGATAGTGCCGCAAGCAAATGCTCCTGTGTCGTGCATAGCGGCCAAAATCCAATTCCATCGAAGCTCAGTGTCATTAAGACAAGAGAGCGAAAGTTCGGTACGCAGTGCATCTTGGTAGGGTAGCCTGACCGAGAGCTGAGCTTACTTCTCAGTTGCCAATCGGGGGAGACGCTTGGTGCGCCTCCCAGTAAAGGTCGTTGTAAAACGGCGGCGTACCAAGGCGTGATCAGAATCGGCGCAAGTACTGCAGAACGAGTCACAACCCAAGATGGAACCACGCCATCTGTAACATATGGCAATGTGATCTATTTGAGTCCATCGCTGGCCAGCTACATGAGGACGCCAAATGACACTTCGGCGTCCACTGTGTGTAAAAGTGGTGCTACTAGAGAACAGCTGGTGCTCCGCACACAACTGCAACAGACGCTCGCCGCCGTCAGTCCGTTCGGAGCTTAACCCATTTTTACCACCCAGCTGAGTTTCTGAAGAGCACAGACGCTCCACTTGTGCAATCATGTTCCGTGAAAGTACTATGATATTTGAATTAGTAGCACTGCGTAGTAGAGCGTTCAGTCCCTGATAAAATGTGTCCTTCACAGCATTTGAACTGCAGTCGGTGGGCGCATAAGTGGAAACCACAAACAAAGAGCACGTAGTGCTACTTCGTGAATCCACATTAACTGATGTCGTCAAACAGGCTGCACACAAACAGTTATTTAGCGGAACCCCATCAACCAACAATTGACTCAGCCTTGGAGCTGAGAACCATATGTACTCTAGTTTGACCCGTGAGTGTTGCATCGGCGTCCCCAGATGCGTGCAACCAATAGCCGCGTGTAATTATTTCAACAACCCCATTAAGGTCATTGATCCTAGTTTCGAACACAACACGTCAATACCTAGAGTGTCCAAGGTGCATGCGACTGCAGCCTGTTGACCTATTTGTCATGGAGTGCGAACGTTGAACGCCGCCAGGGAAAGGGGACAGGGTGGCCTTATAAGGGAGTATAGCCGACAAGCGTCCAGTGGGTGCTGCGGGAAGGTGGTTGCAGATGCTGTGACTCCAGTAGCGCTTCGGTTGCTGTCAATTAAGCTAGGAATTATAGAAGGGTTAGTAATGCGGGTTGGGAGTAGGAGAAGTAGGAGGAAAAGAAAAAAGGAGGTGCCGGCAGTTGCATGTTTGCCCTTATACACTCTGCTGTATGCAGCAGATAAGGCGACCCTAGCTAAGCTGCGCGACGGCCGATGTAAGACGTGGTTGAAGCTTGAAGAAAATATCATGGTTGTGTGTGGGCTGAGATATTGCCAGGGCGCCCAGACCTAGACAGGAGAACTAGTAGGGTCAACAACCATAGCTTTTGGCTCAAAAGACTGTTGGCAAGGCAGCGGCAAGGAAGTGTTACAGAAATGGATGCCATCCCATTTAAGCCCCAAACTAGAGGACCAGGAGACGGAATTTGTCTGACTAACCATTGACAAAGCTGGTAAGAGTAGTTCTCAAGGGGCCCGGGGGCACCACCTAGTATAGCTTAATGGGTCAAGGAGGCACGCAAACCCTCGCACCAGGTTAAGGTCCAGTCACGTTACGACGGTCACCAATAACGAAAAAGGGCTCAAGCAAATATCGACCTATTGCTTGTATTTCGGTAGCCTTAAGTGTTAGAAAAAATCATTTTTGTGAGGATGCTGAAGCCACAGAAGACAAATGATTTTTTGCCATTTGCATACCACTGTTCGAGGTCAACCCAAGACGCAGTAGCCTCTCGTGCACTCGATTCTGTCATCACTGGACAATAGAGTGAAGTTCATCCGAGTCTATTTACTGGGCAACAGCAAGGCATTCGGTTGCGTAAACCGCGAATTGCTGTTGAAACATCTACTCAGTGTTGGAATACATCCTTCCAACGTTCCTGTGTTGAGGGATTATTTTGCCAGTCGTACTGAGGTTACCCGATTTGGAGGTAGAATCTCCTCGCCCCTAATCACAAACATCGGTGTTCTTCAGAGAGCTATTCTCTCACCATCTATATTTTCCAATTATATGAGCTCAATACCAGTCCCAGGAGAAGCAACGCTGCTAAAGTACGCAGATGACATTGTCTTGGGCGTCAATCAATCCATCACTGCAACTTATCAGATTGAAAAATATTCTTAACGATTGCACGTTTTGGTCAAAGGCGCGCGAGCTGCCACTTAACGTGGTAAAATGCAATGATATCCTTTGTTCACTCACAGAGGAGATCGATATCAGCAGCTTCTCCAGCAATACCCGGAACTTAACATCGATGGCGAGAGTTTGGACTCTCCCACATCAGTAAAGTACTTGGGTGTCATGCTTAGCTTTGTTACTACTTGTGTTCCTCTACACTGGACGTTCTGCTCATTGGTGATTCTTCCTGGTCTATTGAGCAAGGACTACAGATTAATCTCCAGGTCGTTAAAACCCTTGTCGGGATGCAGCGGTGCAACAAAGCAGCTGTTTATGGATATACTTGTATCCACTCATGTCGGTTCTTGCAAGAGACTAGTGTCAACAGTACTTATCGACACAAATCAACTTGTTCATTGTGTATTTTCTGAATGTGTGTCAAGCTCCTCAAGCAGACAGAAGTACTAACCTATATATAGGTCCGTACACGAACGTACCGTTGGTCAATTATCCTTTACCTAGCGCGATTTTTGCTAGATCAAAACAAAGTTGTCCAAGAACAAACAAACCGGATTAGGCTATGATGATAATATTTTTCTTCAAATATTGAGCCGTTTTTGAATTGCATTTATATCATGCTGTATCGCTGAAAGCGTGTGTGTGTGTTACGGCTGAATAGTCACTCGTTCTGGGTGCGTAAAGCACTTTATTGACTTAACTTGAAACTAGGCGAACGGAACAGAAGTGGAACCAGCAGATAGATAGTAAGGGAAACAAGTGCCACCTACGCGAATTAGCCATAATCACACGCGTTAGCTGGACAACGTAGAAATGACAATGCCTAGTATGGATGAGGGTTAGCGCGGTCCGAGACGGAGCAAACGTGGGGGTTGGACCAAGTATAGCCTGTGTGTGGACGAATAATTACGGGGAAACGAGATGGGAGGTTGTGCAGTGTGAAATATCCAGTGAAAATCTGTCATGTTAAAAGGGCAATTCGTACTCGAACACAATTGTTTATTTGTTCTCCGAGCTTGGCGATTTTGTTGCAAAGGTTTCACCATCAGTAAGATTGCACGCCGCATCTTACTGCACTGAGGATGCCACCCCACATGGTGGTGAAACGTTTGC